TATGAAACCACCGGCATAAATTGGCATAAATGATGGCATTCAGAGAAATCCAAGATGGCCGCCAAGATGGCCGCTTTTGATACTGAACTTCACTCCTAACTTTACATGGCTAAAATTTTGCATATAATCGGATACATTTTTAATATTTATCACATATTCAAGTCACTGTAAGGACTGTACAAAGATAAACATATCATTTAAAACAAATTTGCATGCATGATTTGTATTTTCTTATAAAAAATTGTCGATAAAAAAGAAGTTTCGCAAGAAAGTTTGCTTTAAGCAGTGGGTTAACAATAAAATTTCTGCAGGAATTTCATGTTATCCTACCAATTGAAGATTTTTGGATATGAATTGAAGCTCACCTTTGATATTCATTGTTATAATCGACTTTTAACGTTGTTTTTTCTTTCGTGGAACATGATAGAATATAAAAAAAAACGCACGTTGGTATTTTCATGGCAAATATTTTTTTCCAGTTAAATAAAGAAAAGTTTATTTAATTTTCAAAGATATGAATTCTTTTGGATCATTTTAGAATGCATAATTTATGAAAAGAAATGTTAAGTTTATCAACTCTTTTCTATCTTGACCTCTTTTCTATATTTTAGCAGTTTTATTGCATGTGTACCCGTGCCCCCAATAAAATGGAGCTAAGGCTAATCACGGGTACACTTAACGTATGATATAGTCTTTTATATGTTAAAAAGAACCTATCATTACATTATGGGTAACCAAGTAATTATTATTGGCAAATTTGGGAAATAATATTTTTTATCATGTTCTGAATAAATTGTTTATGTAAGGAATAGTTTAATCACTGTCTAAAATTACTTGTCAGAGGTTTTCTTACCAATTTAACATGCATGGGTTATGGCAAGGAAATCAGTATGCAACATCAATACTTTAGCCCTTCTTGTTTTCTTCCGTTAGTACAATATATTCAAGATTCAGACCTATTTGCTGTTAGAGAATTACAGATTTACAGTTAAGTTAAAAAGGCAAGTTTGTTGCTAAACTAAGCACTGGGTGTTTTTATTCTGTATAGTTTGACTATATCCTTGAAGTCACGGAAAATAAAGCAATGGAATCCTCTGGCCATTATAGGTCTAACCCATAATGACTGTGCTCTCTCTTACTGGTTTCTTGCAAGGCCATTAATTGCCAAGTATGCCATGGCTTACACATCTGACAATAATTCTTGCTCAAACAAACATCACACAGATACACCTTTCCATACAAAGAAGATGTTGTGTGTATTCAAAAGTGACTCCTTTATCGATCCATTTTCTTTATCTGTATCCACCTTTTCAACTTTTAAACATTGCAAAGGTGTTGAACATCAATAAGATGTTGATTGGAACCTACTAAATTGTCTTAATATTTAAACAGGCCAACGAAATATTGTTAGTTTTTGTGTGAGACAGTTTTATTGCACAGAAACTTTGAGTGTTGAGCCAAAAATGCGTTAAAATTGAAACAAATTGTATAGTTGTCAATCCCAGCGCATATTCTTGTCGTGTGTATCCTTGAAAATCTTAAAAACCTAAAAACATTTAACAATGATAAGTTTAATGCACATGCTTCGAGTATAGCTGACTATTTTATTTTTGATGCTACTGCATTATGGCCGTTGTTCAGCTGCTGCAGCCTCAGTCTAGGATAAAGACAACATACCAGATGTAGGCTTTATCGTTCTGGCAAATTGTAGACATTTTGTCACATAGTCAAAGTGCACTGCACATAACTGAGTTATTGACAGGTATTTTTAGATAGCCTTAAAACCAAACACCCATAAATCGAGGTGAAAATATTTCGTTTCCAGCCAGTTGTAATTCAGCCAAATATCCAGTACAAAAAGTAACAAGAATTTGTAACAGAGTTACCAACGTTCCCCGCCTCAGGAAGCATAAAATTGTGCTATTTCAAAAAATTGAGGTATAGAAAATTGAGGTATGTATCTCAGGACTTTCAGTCCAAAATTATGATCAATACCAGATCTGCAAATGCAACAATAATTTTTTAAAGAAATAAAATTAAACAAAGAATTTAAAAATCTATCATGTTAAGCTTTGACCTCTAAGTGTGACCTCGACCTTGGAGGTAGGGATGCAGGTGTTGTACATGACATATCATTTTATTATTGTAACTATTTGTGCCAAGTATTTTCAAAATCCCTTGAACTATGAAGAAGTTATAGATCGGACACAAAATGTACCCTATCACAGACTATGTTAATCTTTGACCTTTAAGTGTGACCTGAGAGGTAGGGACCCATGTTTTGCGCCTGACACAGGTGTTACGCATGACATATTATCTTATCATTGTGACTATTAGTGCCAAGTATTTTTAAAATCCGTTGATCTATGAAGAAGTTATGAACGGGACACAAAATATACCATATAACAGACTCCGTTAATTTTTTACCTCTAAGTGTGACCGTAACCTTGGAGGTAGGTGACTGGTTTTTGCGCATAACACATCGTCTCATTATTGTGAACAATTGTGGCAAGTATTGACAAAATCCCTTCAAAGATAAGAAAGTTATGGACCGGACACGACATATACCTTCAAATAGACAATGTTGACCTTGAATGAGCAAGTGCGACCTTGACCCTGGAGGTAGGGGTCTGGTTGTTGCGCATGACACATCGTCTTATTATAAAAATCATTTGTGCCAAGCTATTTCAAATTCCTTTGATAAATGACAAAGTTATGGATCGGACACGAAAGTGTGACGGACGGACAGACGGACGGAGCCTATTTCTATATCCCCCTTTTTTGTTCGAAAAGGCGGGGGACAAAAATCCACCTACAAAATTCTTTACTAGATATCTCACTGAAAACTGTCATGAGTAACTTGTCCTGATGAGAGAACCACTAATTATACAGCAGGAGGATTAGATGAACAGTTTTAAAAATCACTCCTTCATGTGTGGAGTATGTTCCAATATGAGATTCAAATCATGAAGAAGCTGATAGCAGGATAATTCTGCATGTTGCTTTTGCTTCCTCATTAGGTATACAGCAAGCCTGTTGTTTTTAGTCCTTATACTGATTTATTTGTACTTCTTATAAATCATTTCTCAGAGCTTAATATGGAAAGTATTTCTTAACTGGTAGTAGAGGTATGCACAGAGACCTGACAAGATATATTCCGGTACATACAGTAAAAATTTCAGTGTTCTGCCTCCACAACAGAGAAGTATCATACTTTCTGTATATTATCTTAAAGGTTGTGATACCTGTTCATAATTCCGTAGCATAGGAAAGAGGAAGGCTTTTCAGGTAATGTGTAAGGCTGTTAATGATCTTAAAAATCTTACTGACCTAGGGAAAGATCTGGTACTTCCAATTCATGCTAACACTGCTGCATTTAAGTTTGTTGGTCTCTTGTATAGTATATCATCCCGGGTTCTTTGCAAAAAGGGGGTCATATCAAGGAAATGACCTTCAACAAATGATAGCTTTATTCTTCATTTACTGCGATGTATACTTCAGTTATTCGTATGGCGTTCATCTTAGAAAACAATAATTCCTCCACTTCATCAACTTTGGATATAGTTAGGAATGTACAATCCACAGCTTATGACACAACCTTCAGCCGTATCTGAACTTTTGAGTGACCATGTATATACTTGTTCTAACCTTTGCAGTGATGATCGTGTTTGTTTGGGCAATGAACAGCTGTGTACCATAACAGCCTGGTCTTGCAAAGGGGTTTACAAGGGCAAATCCATTTACCATGTTGGCAAATGTTGAGACAAATGATAATCGTGATGATGGTTGTCCATAGTGAAATTGAAAAGAAAAATACACTAAGTGTTACATTGACTGTGGTTTGACATAAATAACAATATCTTTTTTAAATCACTGTGTCATATACGTATAGAAAGTTACTGTAGAAAATAACATTGAAAACCCTTTAAATTTTATCAAATTGAACCACTGATTTTTGTTTTGGTTTTGCTGAATTTTTACATTTATATAATCAAATGTATCAATGTTTATGTACACCATACAACATAAAAGAATTTAGTTAACAAATAATGTTACTACTTGTTTCTACACTTTTATATGCATGTACATGTTTGAACATTCATAATGTTTTTCATAGGTTTTGAAATAAGATAAATATTTATTCAAAAAGAGTGTAAAAAAATCATAGTAAAGCATCTCTTTTAATTAAAATAATAAATAAAATTGGTGTCAACTTTTACATTTTTTGAACTGTATCTTTTATGACTTTTTCACTTTATCCTTAAATTTGACGCTGCCTTGATTCAGAAAACTAGTAAAATAAGTTTAAAATTATGCAAGCTCCTTTAAAATAATGTTAAAGGGCTGATACAATTTGGTAAAATTCAAAATTTGCAAAAAAGTATAGCTTAAGGAATATTTCTTGAAAATTTTTTATGATGGCGGCCATCTTGGCGGCCATCTTGGATTTCTTTGATCGCCATCATTTTTCCCAATTTATGCCGGTGGTTTCATATACTACAGACATTAATGAACATTTTGGTATATAACATTCATTGTTGCAATGACTGTCCAGGTTCATCATTTTCTAGGCCCTGATTGTCACCCTACCATATTACTGAAAAAGACCGCCAGCGTCTTGGCGTAAAATCTCTTCAGACATGTTGTCGTTGAAAAACATGTGCCGTAGCTGAGGCTCAGACTCGCTTATATATGTTCCATACATTTTACTGCAAAACAGACCATAATCTCACAATATTTCAATAATGAAATTCAAGAAATATAGACAGATTTTACCGATTATATTGTAAAAATTAAAGCCCACTGGTCATATTTCTTGGAGAAGAAACAGAAAAAACAATTGTACAAGCACTACAAATAATAAATAACTGAATAAAGAGTAAAATAAATATATTTTGCAATATAAAACTGTTTTATACTATTATAAAGGACTAGGGGTGTCCTCATTAGAAAATTTCCAAATTTGTTCTAAGATTTAAAACATCGTATTTTAAAGATATTTATCATGTGCAGACATATATTGAGCCAAATATTAAAAACATAGTTTTACAGTTTAATTACATGTTGAAACAAAATATGCAGTTGGAAACGTTCTTACCTATTATATAAAGAAAAGATACAGAAAAGTTATTCCAAGGTATGGCTTTCTAATTTTCTACACTTTATGCTTAAGGTATTAGCACCCTAATGCATTACCTCCGCGTTGAAGAGTATTCAAATAGGCTAGAATTACTGTTAACTACATTGAAAATGAGGGCCATGGGTTCAATCCCCAGAAGGGTCAACTTTTTTTTTCTTTCTTTTTTTCTTTTAACATTATTTATGTATCTCTCATGTCCCATATGGAAAGAAAAAAGTGTTTAATTTTGAATTTCTAATTTATATAGGTATTTATTGGCTAAATTATGCTAAATCTAGTAATAAATATGGTACCTGATATTTTCAAAGTGTAATATGATCAAAACTAGACGGTAAAAGTATTTCATATTTTACAAGATCAACCAATATACTTTTTAAAAAAATTAGGGAAACTTTGAAAACAGGCACTCATTTGGGTAAATTTTAAGAATTTTTTGAATTAGGCTCCCTTAGTAGAAAAATGGTCAGACATGTGGTAAAAATGGGTGGGGTAGGGTAACATTTTTATACAGATTTCATAAATTTTAAGTAGAAACCATAATTTTGCTTATGTGGATTGTTAGCTGAATGGTACTTTTCGTTTCTTACCAAAAATTCATGGGAAAACATTTTTCATTAGAATGTTATTGCAGATTATTTAAAGGTTCCTCATTTCTAAAAAAGGGCCCTCATAACATCCTAGCTTGAGTTCAGAAAAGTGACCATAACTTGATTTCCGTACGGTAAACTTTGTTTAAATTTTGCATACAGGCGTACTTTAAGGTATACATCTGACCTATGATGTCATTTCTTTAGTTCCTGATAGTGCCCATTAGGGTCCTAATACCTTAAATGTCGCTTGTTCTTTTTTTATATATAATTTTTTCCAGTTTTTACTACTTAGGCATAACCAAACAAACATGTTGAAACATAAAACGTTTTGATTATGTTAAAGGCATATTATGCCCCACAGATGCTATCATTTTCTTCTTTTTTCTTTTCTTTTCATTTTGGTTATTTTGTTACAGTTTCCAAAAATTACTCAGCTGCCATAGTGATGAACTATCTTTTGCTCTGCTGGCAATTAAAATACATTTATGTAATTATAGTGAATATTTTGTATGGAAGTCGAAGTGCTACTTTGTTAACATTGCTAGCTTGAGGACACATAGCTGCACGTTCAGTGCTACTTTCTTCAGATTTTAAACATCTTCCATGCCCTTATTTTTATATTAATCCATTACTGAAAAACTTTTAACGCATTTTTAACATTTCTAAAGAATTGAAATTAAAATTAATTTCTGAGGCATAATGTGCTTGTAGGAATTAAATTCTGCGATGTATGTATGATCAATTTCAATCAACCATGCATGTATTGACATGATTTGAGAGAAAAGATTCAGTCTGAAGAACCAGTAATCAGAAAATAATTGAAATATGTGTAGTAAACAAAACAAAGTAAAATTAAATAGTGCTGCAAATTCATAAGGTAAAATGACATCGAAGTGGTCTATGTCAGCCAACAGCAAGTTTTATATACCAAATTGTTCGTCTTGGTCTGTAGTTTCCGGAATGGATATTCATTTGGTTCAAGTCCGATGCGTAGCTTAATAATCCAAGATGGCGTCAAAGATGGCCGCCAAATCCCTAAATTTTCTAGAATATTAATATTTGCTCATATTTTTTTTCCGCTTTTGTATTTCAGGTGATAGAATGATAGAAATGTTAAAATTTGAAAATATTAAGAGTTTGTTTTATTCATTTTACGTTCACTTGGATATATTTAAGATTTTACTTGATCAAATTTGAGTATTCATGTTAAGGATATCATCTAGGTAGCGACAAATGCTATTTAATGCAACGTATAGCTTCCGGTTGTGAAATAGTAGAGAGACTTAACAGTAACTAACATGTCATTGGCATTATCATTGTAAAAAATCAGGAATCAGGGATGTGCCCCCTTCTGTTTGGGGGGTTTAAGGGGGGCGGAGTCCCCCTCATCGCCAAGAAAATTTTGGACTTGTGAGAGGCTATAAATGACCTCAGATTGATCATAAGGTAACGTGTAACCAACGCTGAAAAGCATTTGACTCTATCTCAATCCATTGAGAAGTTGCAGCACTTTGAAATCAATTATGATAGAAAAAATCAACGCAAAATAGTGATTTTTGGCTATTTTGAGATGTCCCCTCGTTGCCATGGTAACAGAAAATTTAAGCCTGAGCATGTTGTTGCAAGGGCAATGGTCCAGTCAACATTTGTGCCAAGTTTGATTAGTGTTGAAGCAGTTTTTATAGTATTATAGCAATTTGAACTTGTAACGGGAGACTTTTCAATGAAAACAGCCATTTTTCACAAAATGCTCATGAAGTAATGGGTTAATGAAAAAAATAAAAAAATCTACAAAACAACAATTTTTCTTCAAATTTATATGACAGGCCATGTTTAAACATGAAAAAAACGCGATTTAGGGTAATTTCAAGTATTTTCATCATTTTCTGTTAACCCATTACTTCATATACACGCCTTTTAACGCCTTTTTCACCCCCCCCCCTTTTGTGTGTCTCAAATGGTGAAAAAATGCCTTATTTAGGCCCCAAACACTTGTTTTTGTTCGAGAAATGTTGTTAAAAAAAGCGACCACTTTTTCGGCGCGGCCCCCCAACCAAAAGATACATCAGGGGGTTGCAAGAAGGGGGATGTGCCCCTTCTGTTTGGGGGGTTTGAAGGGGGCGGAGTCCCCTCATCGCCAAGAAAATTTTGGACTTGTGAGAGGCTATAAATGACCTCAGATTGATCATAAGGTAACGTGTAACCAACGCTGAAAAGCATTTGACTCTATCTCAATCCATTGAGAAGTTGCAGCACTTTGAAATCAATTATGATAGAAAAAAATCAACGCAAAATAGTGATTTTTGGCTATTTTGAGATGTCCCCCTCGTTGCCATGGTAACAGAAAAATTTAAGCCTGAGCATGTTGTTGCAAGGGCAATGGTCCAGTCAACATTTGTGCCAAGTTTGATTAGTGTTGAAGCAGTTTTTTATAGTATTATAGCAATTTGAACTTGTAACGGGAGACTTTTCAATGAAAACAGCCATTTTTTCACAAAAATGCTCATGAAGTAATGGGTTAATGAAAAAAATAAAAAAATCTACAAAACAACAATTTTTCTTCAAATTTATATGACAGGCCATGTTTTAAACATGAAAAACGCGATTTAGGGTAATTTCAAGTATTTTTCATCATTTTCTGTTAACCCATTACTTCATATACACGCCTTTTTAACGCCTTTTTCACCCCCCCTTTTTTGTTGTCTCAAATGGTGAAAAAATGCCTTATTTAGGCCCCAACACTTGTTTTTGTTTCGAGAAATGTTGTTAAAAAAAGCGACCACTTTTTCGGCGCGGCCCCCAACCAAAGATACATCAGGGGGTTGCAAAGAAGGGGGATGTGCCCCCTTCTGTTTGGGGGTTTGAAGGGGGCGGAGTCCCCCTCATCGCCAAGAAAATTTTGGACTTGTGAGAGGCTATAAATGACCTCAGATTGATCATAAGGTAACGTGTAACCAACGCTGAAAAGCATTTGACTCTATCTCAATCCATTGAGAAGTTGCAGCACTTTGAAATCAATTATGATGGAAAAAATCAACGCAAAATAGTGATTTTTTGGCTATTTTGAGATGTCCCCTCGTTGCCATGGTAACAGAAAATTTAAGCCTGAGCATGTTGTTGCAAGGGCAATGGTCCAGTCAACATTTGTGCCAAGTTTGATTAGTGTTGAAGCAGTTTTTTATAGTATTATAGCAATTTGAACTTGTAACGGGAGACTTTTCAATGAAAACAGCCATTTTTCACAAAAATGCTGCATGAAGTAATGGGTTAATAATGAAAAAAATCAAAAAATCTACAAAACAACAATTTTTCTTCAAATTTATATGACAGGCCATGTTTTAAACATGAAAAAACGCGATTTAGGGTAATTTCAAGTATTTTCATGCATTTTCTGTTAACCCATTACTTCATATACACGCCTTTTAACGCCTTTTTCACCCCCCCCTTTTTTTTGTTGTCTCAAATGGTGAAAAAATGCCTTATTTAGGCCCCAACACTTGTTTTTTGTTCGAGAAATGTTGTTAAAAAAAGCGACCACTTTTTTGGCGCGGCCCCCCAACCAAAGATACATCAGGGGGTTGCAAGAAGGGGATGTGCCCCCTTCTGTTTGGGGGGTTTTAAGGGGGCGGAGTCCCCCTCATCGCCAAGAAAATTTTGGACTTGTGAGAGGCTATAAATGACCTCAGATTGATCATAAGGTAACGTGTAACCAACGCTGAAAAAGCATTTGACTCTATCTCAAATCCATTGAGAAGTTGCTAGCACTTTGAAATCAATATTATGATGGAAAAAATCAACGCAAAATAGTGATTTTTGGCTATTTTGAGATGTTCCCCTCGTTTGCCATGGTAACAAGAAAAATTTTTTAAGCCTGAGGCATGTTTTGCAAGGGGAATGAGTCCAAGTCAACATTGTGTGCCCAAGTTTTGATTAGTGTTTGAAGGCAAAGTTTTTTATAGTATTATAGAATTTGAACTTGTTAACGGGAGACTTTTTAATTGAAAAAACGCCATTTTTCACAAAAATGGCTTCATGAAATGGGTTTTTAAACATGGCAAAGTTGATAATTCAAAACTCAGTTTTGATGGGGGGTTTCATGAGGAGACCATATTCCACGTTTCTTAGTACCAAAACAAGTAAGTATCCGATCCTTTAAACTATAAAATTTTTTTTTCAATTAATTTTGATCCCGAAGGACCAAGTCGTCGGTTAGCTAATAGGTAAGGGCGTTGGACTAAATGAATCGGGCAACCGCGTGTTTGATTCCCGGACCGGGGCGGTCACTTTCGTTATTGACTCCCGATGAAATAGTTTCTATGGTTATTCCACTTGTACCACTGCCTCTGCTTATGTAAAAAAGTTTCAGTTTCCTTGCGAAAGTTAGGGCAACTAGTACTGGTTAAACTGTTTTTTGACAGCCTGTCCAGGAACGATTTCGGTGGCTGAAAACTGTGCTCTGGTAAATTCAATTTATGGTTACGCCGTGATTCCGGAAATTGGGAAAAACTACCGACCCCCCACCATCCCGAAAGACCTATTAATGTAAACACTGTTTAACCTGCCTGTTCGCAGATGCCGGTTTGCTGAGCCTGTTAATGGGACTTGTACACTGGAAACGTTCATGCGTTACTCTACGGGCCCCCCCCCCCCCCCGTGCACAATAGTATTACTTTTAAGTACCCGCCAGGGAAAAGATAAGCTTATTTTCGTTCCAATTGAAAGGCTTTCTCAATTCCTCCCATGAAGTTTAACAACAAACTTGAAACAAAATGCTTCAAAATCATACAACAGGAGCTGTCAGTAGGACAGCGTGCTCATCCTTATTCTCAGTGCTTGATAGTAAAAAAAATGTGACATAATATTGTAAAAAAAGCTTGATACAGTGACCTCCTCTGTACACAGGTTGAGATTTGATGGTGAGCAAGTGTGCAAGGTCTCAAAGCGATATGTTCGATGGGATTTTGAAATTTTGGTAATGTTAATTCAAAGTTGAAAATAGGGGCATAATTCTGAAAAAAATTGCTTGATAGAAACACGTTCCTTTTTCCAGTGTTTAAGGGTGGAGGGCATGATCATGGTAAACAAGTGTGTAAGTTTCAAAGCCATATGTCAATGGAGCTTTAAGATGGTTTACGGCCGACGGCGCTGGCGACTAGGATATTCATAATTTTCAGGATACAGTCTAGGGCAGAAAAGTATCTTACCTGTTTAACTGAATAACCTATCCCATTTTTTAAATGTTCTAGGCCAAATTACATTATACATTTTAATGTATAATATTTAATCCGTCATCAACATAATGACAAAACTCCAAATATGGTTCAATTTTGTAGATTATATAATGTTAAGCCAAATGGCCTTAAAACAAGAGCGCATGTCTGACAGCACGCTCGAATATTTAAAATCAACAGCCTGCATAATAAAATCTTCCTGTTTAAATTCTCTTATTCATAAGTAGTATAAACTCTTTTGGAATAAAAAAAAAAAGTTAGAGGGAAGTAAACCTACAATTTAATTGATCTCAAAGATTGTTTTTAGGCCTTTCAAGGCTTACCTCAATGGTTGTGAATATTATTTAAATATATATTCTTATTTCCTAATAAATGCTTAGCTTATTGACCTACAAAGAATTTAATCAAAAACACATTTGAAGACAACAATGTGTTTTTGGGCTAAGGGAAACAAACTTTCAAACAAATCCCTTAACAAAAAGGCTAGCAGCCCAAAGTCAACGCAAAATACCGATTTGCAGGTCAGTAAAAATTTTCGTTCTTTTTTGTGTGTATTTAAAAAATAAAAAGAATTTCGCAACATTTAGACAACACATGCAGGGCATTTTCTATGAAAGGTAAGATGTTCTCCATATTACCAATTTTAAATTAAAAAATTGTTAATCGCTTTTTAAATCAACTATTATAATATAAAAAAAAAATATTTATAATTTAACCAGTTGACTCCGTTCGTAATACCCCCACCACTTTGTAATATGAATTTAGATTTTCAATAAACACATTTATGGCATAGTTTTTGCTTTTATTCTAACTTATTCTAAATATGTGTAGATATAGTTTTAAAGGCTGTATTAAACGAAATCATGAATGTTTTTCAGTTTAAAACAAGAATAAAACTAATAAGTTACACATATTCAGAAAAGGACACCAGTTGGCAACATATTTTTTCTTCTTTTCGTTAAAATTAGGCGATGAAAGCTAGAAAAAAATCAATAAAGTCAAAAATTTATAGCATAAGTAAGTTGAAAATAAGAAATTTTATGCAAAATTTCAATTGATTTACCAAAAACTGAAAAAGGAAATAAAAGCCGTAAGTAAATATACTAGAATATTTAGGTATTTGGCGGCCATCTTTGACGCCATTCTTGGATATCTTAGCTTTCGCATCGGGGTTGGGCAAAATGAATATCCATTCCAGAAACTACAGATCCAGACGAACATTTTGGTATATAAAACTTGCTGTTGGCTGACATAGACCACTTACCCCTCTAAATAGGCTACTAAAATGGGCTGATTTGCAGCACTAAAAAAGAAGTCAATGCATGGTGTTACATTTATATAAATTTATCACAGCCAATTTTATCTTGTTTATATGCAATTCGATTTGACAATTTCCATATTTAAAATAAACTCTACCAGACGTAAACAATGTGATTGCTGCTGGGTTGTGACCGATAATAATCGTTAGTATTTCCCTACCTTTTAGATTAATCATGGACGTGTCAGGATGGAGAGCATCAAATCAACCTCGATCATCGTCAATCGACATGTGGTCTGAAGAAGATAGTCAAGTTTATTGCCAGTCTTGTGATCAAGAAGGTCCTAGACTCCCTGCCCATGGTTACTGCACTGTCTGTAAAGAGCATCTATGCGAAAAGTGTTATACAGTCCATAAAACCGAACATCATATTCTCCTTGATGCAGGAAGTATGCCTAAATCTTTATATCAACGCCGAATAACTTCCAAAACTAGCCAGCGCGAAGAATTGACCACGTTCTGTCTTAAACACTCAAAAGAAAAAATAAAACTTTTCTGCAGCAACCATAAAAAATTACTTTGCCGTGATTGTGTTTGTGATGAACATATAACTAGTCCTTGTATCGTTAAACATGTATCGGACTTGTCTGGTGACATTATTGACTGCAGAGAATATCAAGATATTCTAAAAGCACTGGAAAACATTTCTGATAAATATTCTACAATTGTTGAAGATGTCAAGAGAATAACTTTAAAATCCAACAGCTTAGTCAAAGATGCTTTGGCAGACATCAAAAATTTCCGCCAACAAATCAATGCGATACTAGATGAACAGGAGAGACTGGCTGAGGATGTAGCAAACGGCATTGTAGAGGACAATAACAAATATTTAAAATAGTAGAAAAGAATCTCATGACAGATAAACCAAATTCTGGAACGACCAGTGTCCAGACAAAAATTCAAACAGCTGAAACACAGAAAAACAGGCTGCCAAACTGTTTGTTGGAAATTAAAACTTGCAGAGAAAAGCATAGAAGTTATGGAAGCAAATACCATTTTACACGATAACATCACAAAAGGTCAAGAAATCAATTTCAACCAAAATGGATACAAATAAATTAACGATGCTCAAAAACAGGAACCAGTCTTCTGGGTAGCTTGACAGAGACACTACAAAATTCTGAATTAATTGCACTATTCAGTCTGAACATATTCAATCAACACAAACTAAATCTAACAGGGAAGCTATGTGGGTGAAGACATCACACAATATGTATATATGCTGGATAACAGGTATGGCTCTTCCTTCTCGAGATGTTCTTATAATCACTGACTTTGAAAATAAGGATATAAAGATGGTGGATACCCGCAGTAAATCTGTTATTGATCGGCTACAGCTTGACGGTTGTCCTTGTGATGTCACTACAGTAGCAAGTACAGAAGTTGCTGTCACACTATTTCGTGAACCAAAAATTCAGTTTATATCAACCTCCTCAAAAAGACTTACAAAGAAGCAATCTATTGTGGCTGATGGTGAATGCTATGGCATAAGTTGCAATCAGGAGAAACTTATCTTGACATTCTGTAATCCTGCAAAACTCCAGATCGTTGACATGAATGGCACTGTACTGACAACTGTTAAAGACCGAGACATTTTCAGACACCCATGGTAATGGTCACCCCGTAGACAAAAATTCTATTTGCTATGTATCCGACTAGCGGACATGAAAACAGTAACAGCAATTAAAGCTGCGAAAGGAGAAGTTAATTGGTTGGTATTGTGTTCCAGCTGTACCGTAATGGGATAGGCAATCGTCCGATGATGATACTGTTTCGTGTGTGCCATGGATGGGCAACTACATAGAAAGAGATGTCAGGAAGATTGCAGTGGAGGAAGGTAGTGTTGAACGAAATCTGAATGAGTCCCTTTTGCTGGTAATGTTGGTGTGGCGAAACATAGGAAGCTGTACCACAGCAGTTATTCAAAACGATGGAAAAAGACAAAAACTTAATTTATGGTCAACAAACTGTCGGAGGATTTGAACAAAGTTTTATATTAACTTTGTGTCTAAAGAATAGAACAAAATTTTATAATAACTTTTGATTATTCCTTCAAGACCACTACTCTGATTAACGCATAGACATCGCTGGAAAAAAATTAATATGCTAACTTTTCATGCCAAGAGAATTTTTGAAACATTTAATGTAAATAATTTGATACTTATGTACAAATTATATATATATATGTGTGTATATTGTGTATTTGAATGACAAGGATTTAACAAACTTAACTTGAAATTTGAGAATCATAAACCATTAAAACTGTTATTCTATTTCTTGTACCACAATGTATATATAATACACTTGCCTTGCCTTGAATTTGAAACTGATCACTGTCATTTTAAAGGGTTTCTTTCACACCCTTTCCCCTAAAAACTGAGCACCCAAAAGGACAGAATCCGGTCAGACTGCATGGATGAGCAAGGTAGCCAAGCAACATACTGAGTATGTTGCCTGGCTATCCTGCTCATCCATGCAGACTAACATTACTGGTGACATAGGCCCCACATTAAAGACTGGTAGTGGCATTTAAAGGGTTAATAATGTCAATTATGGGGTTAACAGTGGTTTGGTTGAAGGACATTTGTTTCAAGATCAGAATGTTCATGAGTTTGAGTCCCATCAAGTGCACAACATAGCAAGAAATGTTCACTACATTGATTTACTATGCTTGATTTTATATGCAATATATCCCAATGCTGCTGTAATGTGGAGCGAAAGACTCCAGGGATATTGATATATAGATACTAAAAGAGGTGACTTTAAAGTCAGTGAACATTCTTAAGGTGTGTAACATACATCATTAAATGCATATCTAAGCTTTTCTCTCCAGAAAAGCTATCTGCTACCTAATTGTGCCCGGTTTCTTTTTGCTTACAATATGAATGTACATTTATCAATGTAATACTAAATTTTAATAATTTTGTTAATATGAAACTGTGTGAATAAAATTTGTTTTGTTCAAACCTGCAAGTGTGGGTATACAAAAAAGGTAAAACACGTGATTTCATTACAAATTAAATGCAATGCAATGCAGTACAGGCTGAAAATTTACAATATATAAGAGAGAAGCTGACCAGTGCTGAAGAGCATTTCGTTCATGAAATGGGATATACTTATAGTTACAATTAAGTTGATTATGACATATCGAATGATTCATGAGGAGATGCATTCATTTTATTATGAGTTTTTTTATTTCAAGGACTGGCTGAGGGATGTTATGCTTCAGAAAGGAATACAAACATTGTTCTTCTTAAGAAAAGTAAAAAGTGTTTTAAAATTTTGTTAGGAAATCCTATGCTGGACTCCTGGATAGATTGAATGAGAATTAGTTTGTAAAAGTTAATACTGTATACAATATAATAAAAACACATACAAAGTTCTACTATAAACTTTATTTTCAAAGACAGCACCTTCATAATTGAGCCGCGTAACAACAAAACAAACATAGTGCGCTTGCGACCAGTATGGATCCAGACCAGCCTGCGCAGTCTGATCAGGATCCATGCTGTTCGCTATCATATTCTCTACTTGTAATAGGGTTGGTAAGCGAACAGCATGGATCCTAATCAGACTGCGTGGATGCCAAGGCTGGTCTGGATCCATGCTGGTCGCAAACGCACTATGTTGGTTCTGTCGTGACGCGGCTCATATGTTCTACCAGACAATATAAATTATACATATCAAAACAAAATATCCATATTTTCCTCTTGCAACAATAATTAAGACAGGTTTACTTAATAATAAATGGAACAATAACTTTCATTTTTGAGGTCCTAATGCATGAGTGTTGTAATATTTTTCTTAAAGATCATTGAGTTAGGACAGTGTTACATTGAATATTATATTGCTTTTATATTATATATCTATGTTATCTCTTAAGTAAAACATAACCTAGCATGATATAACCCTCAAGAGTGCTAGCAGTCAGAATGACTCACCTTTGCTACCACATATCTTTTGCTCTTAACTTTTCATCAACATGTCTTTTGGAGAATTATTTCAGGCATGAGAAAACCTGGATAAAATCCAAATAACCTTGCTCACATGTAAGTGTCCACTCCAAACTCACAGGTGTGAGGTGGTTCATGATTTAAAGTCAGATACCTTAACCGACCAGTTAATGTTTCACCACAACATTTCACCACAACACTGTCATATCTTAATGAGCATCAAGAATCAATCACATCAGTAATGTAGCACAGGAAACCTCAATATAATTTATCAAATAACAAAACTTCCCTCACCCTTACCCTGCTGGAACCGAAATATGATTAGCCCTAGCAACCAGTATAGAGCCAGGCCAACATGCACATCTATGCAGTTTGACCAGGCTCTGGACTGTTAGCTGACTAACTTTAATATTTACCTTTGATATCCCCAAAATTGAAAATGGCCAGATTCAAACTGGAAGTTCCTCTTTATATCCTTATTATTCTCTAATTCTATCTTAATAAAATATGACCAGAATCCTCCTAATTAAAGGCTTTAAGTGAATAAATACTTCATCACTTTCGTGCAGAATTGGGATAACTCCTATTAAATTATATAAGGAGTTAAGTCATAACTGCACTAAGTTGACGTCTTATCAAAACAAGGTCTGATAGTCCAAAAAATTTACCAAAATAATTCGCAAAACTTGAAATTTGTTTTTTTTCTTCTTTTTTTTAGTATATGTTAGTTTTTGTTAATCAGCATTAAAGAAATTACAAAATGTATAAATCTTCACTTTGGTGCAGTAACTGCTTAACTCCTATTAAACTTCAATGGGAGTTAACCTGTTACTGCACTAAGGTGATGATATATCTGGTGTGACACAATCACTGAAATTAATGCTGACCTTTCATTAACATTAACCTATATAGTGGTTGTAATTATTTGAATCTTGTACACAGCAAAGCTGCTGATTTAATGGGATACTATTAAATGACAAGTTGGTGCCAATTAAATGATAATTAAACATATCAACATAGTGGAAAAATGGAACAATTTCATTGGAGAAAATATAATTTCAACCACTTAATTGTCTAATTAGCAGCCTCTGAAAATGGACCAGCAACCTGTCTTAAAAAGTATTTAAACTATGTATTTTTAATAGAATATATAAACCATAATTATATTATTTCATATAAATCATAATTATATTATTTCATATAAATCATAATTATACAATTTCAGTAAGTCTACTCTCACATGGAAAACTGACAAATCATATTTCATACTAATCAAATCATATAAGATTCCTATACAATATAACTATGCATGTATATAGCATGCTAATAAAAATACTTGGCACAAAGATTTTTTATAAATTCATTGTATTTTCTGTACTGTCAAGAAACATTGTCTATGTTATTCATTTAATATATTATGTTTTTAAGTAAGTGTTTATTATTAAGTACCAAATGAAATGGCATATTTTATACAGTTGCCAAATACTATGGAATGTTTCTGCAAAATTCTACCATAAATACAGAAGATATTGAATGAGTGAAGGTTCAATACTGAATTTATTGAACGAGTTGAATAAACTTATATTATGCAATCCTCTGGTAAACATCATGTAATATCTTTTAACAAGTTAAAATAAATTTAGTAATATGCTATTTATCACATACCCAAAATAAGAAATGTTAACAGGTAAAAAGAACACTTTCTCATTTAAATTTTGAAAAATAATACTTCTTAAATACCTGTATGAATCAACTGAATATCTTTGAAAACCAATCTGTTCTCATAGTAAAAATTTTAATTTCAACAGAAATATATACCTGAACAGATTATAATATTAAGTCAACAACAAAAATATAATTCATAAGAATTATTAAACAAAAAATAAATATGTATAGTATTCAACACAGTAGACTTGTAGTAATTTCAACATAACAAACATAAAACAACATGTAACATAAGTAAATAATGTATAATTACAAAATGTATAAGAAAATGTTCACAGTGGAAATAAATAATTAAGTAACAAAAAATAAAGAGAATGAAAGAACAAAAACTGGTGGAGATCTGAAGACAGAAAAATATTGCACCTTGTCGTCTGCACTGCAGAAAATATAAATACAAGAGCTGCCAGTTGGGCAGTTTGCTCGACTATTCTATCTCTCTCTTTTTGGTTTGGTTTTAACTTGCATATGACTTGGTCATATGGTGACTTTCCAGCTTAATTGGTGGAGGAAAACCTCACACACCCCTCAGTGCATTATTCCAGACATGAACAGGCACCTGAGTAGAACCATCTTTGTTTTGATAGCAATCTGGATAGCTTCCTCACATGAAAGATGCCAAAATCCCTTGGGGAATTCGACCCAAGGTGATGAGGGGTAAGTTGGTTTGAGGCAAAAACCTACACCACTTTGTCATGGACTCCTCTACTTGACTATTCTTAATGCCTGATAGTAAAATATATTCATTGAGAGAATTTTAAAAGTTCATTAAGGTAAATCATTTCACAGAAGATTTATAGGACTAAGTCAGTGATGACCTACAAGACACTTAGTAAATTTTCAGTGATATCTTTTGATGGCCGCAAATAAAGAACTTGCAAGTAAAACCTTAACCAAGAATAAACTTAAGTATACAAATATGCAAATATACAAATATGCATAATTAAGTAAATATCAATGCTACAGTCACTGATCTCAGACATTGACCTAAAATTATGATCTTGGACACATTTGTGTGATGTTTAAAGTGAATAGTTTCAGTGCTGAATGAGTCATGAAGTTATATACATTACTTTAATAATAAGTGATACATTAGCATCAACCCCAGGATGATCAGGAAAGCCCCAATAATGTTTTGAAGTGATTTCAAATTTAAAAAAAACGATTGTTTCTTAATTTACTGAGAATAACTATGATCACAACTTTCTTTTGACTTATCAACAGGTCAATTTAATTTATAAATCATCACACTCAAATATAACTCCTGACTTATAACAGAGGCAGACATATGGCCAAATACATTGTATACATAAATAATACACTGATATTACTTCTCACACCAAATTTTTTTTACATTTGACATCCTAAAAGAAAAAATATGTACTAAAAATACACACATATAAATTTATAAAAAATTCTAACAATGTTTGTTTTTTTTCAAAATTACACACTATTCTTAAAGCTTATAAAATACACTTTAATAAATCTTTAACGAAAATTTTACATTATTTATTATTTTTATTATTTATTTAAAATTAATCACTTTTATATGAAAATAGATAAAGAAATCTGCAAAATAGCTCCCTGTATTTCTTCAAAAAATTACATGATTTTATTAATGAGATATAATTCATATCGTTTACTGCATGTCGCTATCTATATTTCCTATATTTTCATTGATAAACATTAAATAATGGAAAACCTATTTTATTTTTTTGTAAATACATGTATTGAAAATTTTTCTTTTGTCACATTAATCATTTTAAACCCAAATTTAGATTAGATTATTACTGCCAATGGAGTATTATCAAGGGTAAAACACAACACTGTTACTGTTTAAAAGTTAAAAATGAGCCGCGTCACGACAAAACCAACATAATGCGTTTGCGACCAGCATGGATCCAGACCAGCCTGTGCATCCGCGCAGTCTGATCAGGATCCATGCTGTTCGCTATCAGTTTCTCTACTTAAAATAGAGTTGGTAAGCGAACAGCATGGATCCTGATCAGACTGCGCGGATGTGCAGGCTGGTCTGGATCCATGCTGGTCGCAAATGCATTATGTTGGTTTTGTCATGACACGGCTCAAATTTAACAGTGTGAGGATCAAAGGTAAAAAGTTTATTTGGCAATATAAGGGTTATAGGTCAAGTTACATTGAAATGAGAGGATTATTAAGGTCAAGTTATTTAGCAGCCTGAGAATTAAAGGCCGAGTTATTTCACAGTATGAGGCACAAAAGTTTAGTGATTTAGCAGTTTGAGGGTTAAAGGTCAAGTTATTTAGCAGCATGAGTGCTGAAGGTTAAGTTATTTAGTGGTATGAGGTAAAAAGCTATTTATTAGTGTGATGGCTAAAGGTTAATTAACTTAGCTGTGGAAAGGTTAAAGGTAAATTCATTTGGCAGTGTGAGGGTTGAAGGTCAAGTAATTTAGCTGTGGAAAGGTTAAAGGTAAATTCATTTGGCAGTATGAGGGTTAAAGGTCAAGTTATTTAGCTGTGCAAAGATAAAGTTGTTTGGCAGTGTGAGGGTTGAAGGTCAAGTAATTTAGCCGTGGAAAGGTTAAAGGTAAATTCATTTGGCAGTATGAGGGTTAAAGGTCAAGTTATTTAGCTGTGCAAAGATAAAGTTGTTTGGCAGTGTGAGGGTTGAAGGTCAAGTAATTTAGCCGTGGAAAGGTTAAAGGTAAAGTTATTTGGCAGTATGAGGGTTAAAGGTCAAGTTATTTAGCTGTGCAAAGATAAAGTTGTTTGGCAGTGTGAGGGTTGAAGGTCAAGTAATTTAGCTGCAGAAAGGTTAAAGGTAAGTTGTATGGCAGTATGAAAGTTGAAGGTCAAGTAATTTAGCGGCAGAAAGGTTAAAGGTAAAGTTATTTGGCAGTGTGAGAGTTAAAGGTCAAGTAATTTAGCTGCAGAAAGGTTAATGGTAAAGTTGTTTGGCAGTGTGATAGTTAAAGGTCAAGTAATTTAGCTGCAGAAAGGTTAATGGTAAAGTTGTTTGGCAGTGTGAGAGTTGAAGGTCAAGTAATTTAGCTGTGTAAAGGACTAAAGATAAAAGGTAAATTTATTTTGCAGTGCAAGAGTGGAAGATCAAGTAAATTTGCTGTGTTTCAGGAAAGTAACATGCCAGTGAGAGGGTTAGAAGTCAAGTTAGCAGTGAGTTATAGTTAAGTTATTTAGCAGTTTTAGGGTTGAAGGCAAAGTTCCTTCAACAGTATTATGCATACCTAATATATGAACAAGTGAGTGCTTTATGCCTATATGAAAGGGCTGTTACTGTAGAAAAGTATGAAAACAAAATACAAATAGGTTTTGTCCCAGGGAATGCATACAAATCTGTATTGGAAAGCTTCAAATTAACCTTACTTTTTATAGGGATTGAATTTTAAACTTAAATTTGTTGTCATAGCGATTTGCTGGCATAATTTATTTTTTTAGGGTCCTAAAGAGTATCTTTTGTGCAAGCTATACATGTACCTCAAATTGAATATACTCTTAATATAGATTTCATAAAATTTCTAAGTACAAATACATTAATGTTTTCATGTTTTTCCTATCTAACTTAAGAAGAGGTTCATGATGGTGAATGATTGCTCACGTGAGATACATTGCAAGAAACGGTCACAATTTTTATTTTTCAATGTTAAATTCAGTATTAAGGTCACATTTGATTTTGTCAATTTTTGACAAACTTGGTCAGGTTGCATAGTTTTTAATGTATTTGTTGATGTCTGCTACCATAGTTGAAGGGCAAATATCTAAAGATCTTGGCATTAAAGATTCACAAAAGACTACTTTAACGTATTTTCCAATACACATCTATATGCATGTAAACAAAGTGATAACCATTTATATAACTTTTGTGGAGGACCACTTAAGGAACACACCTGTGACGTTAGGTCAAAATCCATCAAGAGGTTTAATGGGCGATGTTTAAAGAAATTGTGGATAAAGACAGAAGACAAACAACAGATACACTGCCATTGTAAAATCTCACCTCTGAGCACTTTCTGCTCAGGTGAGCTATAAATGGGAGTTATGAAATGATCTTACTAGAAATAAATAAATGAAATAGGAGGAAGCAAAGGTGTAGAATAAACAAGTGTAAAGTAGTTTGATGTTATTGATAATTAATGATATAACAAAAACAACTATGACACAACACAGAATTGCGAGCCTGAGAAACTTGACATTTAATTAACTTGAACTTGTTTTTTTTCTTCCCTAATTTTATTTTGGAGAGCATGGGGAGTGGACAGGAGGGGGCTGGGGGGGGGAGTGGAGAGGGTCAACAATTCTTCATATCAAAGAATATTATGGTTATATTAGCATTAAACAGTTAATTTTTGTCACTTTTACATACAAGCTTGTAAATTGCTTCTTTACATAAATCAAATAATATGGATATTTATATAAATATAACATGTTTAAAGATTTACCTTACATGCACTATATTTTACACTGTGACTAGAATTAGTATTAGTTGTGTTGAATTTTTATTTTGCATAAAAACTACCTCTGCAAAGCAATATTCATATACAATTGCAGTAAATGTTTAAATAATATTTTGCTTGTTCATTTAAGCTTTATAATATGTCAAGAATTGTCTATTCAGACATATTTTTGGCTTTGATAAAAAAAAGCCATTCACAAAATCAAGAAATGCGAACTCTAACCCTGGATTCATAAAAAAAAGCCATTCAAAAATCAAATCAAATTATGGTCCCGTAAACATTAGTCATATTTGCTCCTGAACAATCAAAATACACAAAACATACAAAAATATACCTTATACATGTATATAGTATTAGCTTTCTGTCATTAAAGATGTTTTCAACAATATCTGTATTTACTATAATGTGATTTAAATATGCCATATTAACCTATTATTAAAACAACTCATTACATGAGCATTTTGTTCTTAATTGCCTATATCTACATAAATGTATCTCTGACCACATATCAAAGCGATTTGTAACATTGTACATAAAGTATTTTATAATACTGCTTGTATGTAACGTCACTTTTCATTGGATAATCCTGACCTTTATATAATCTTTATACACGGTTGTTGTCAATTTTTATCAGTTTTTTCCTCAAATAAAGTAATTCTGCTGATTTATATATTAATCATAAAGATATCTGACATGTCATAAGAGTGAGACTAAAAAGTGTTGGAGCACAACATTAAATACTGTATTCCGGTAAGTACTGGACAGGGCGCTTGAATGATTAAATCCTAAATTCTCGCCTTTACATCTATCAAAATGCACTTTAAAACATTGAATCTTTTCAAACTAGTTTATGTATGATAATGAATGAAAAATGTACGAATCGGCAAGAGAAAAAACAATATTTTTATACTTTGTGATCATGATTTCTGCAAGCGTCTAAAGGTACTGCTTCAACACTGTAGTGAGTTTAATCCATGTTATATGGCCAAGTTTAATGGTTATTTACAATATAACCTTATTATCTTACAACCATTTATAAAGAGCCATATAACTTAATAACCTGTCAGACATCTTTATAACTAATAACATAAAGTACTTATACTTAAAAGAAAATGTTACAAATCCTAGTCTTATTTGGGAGAGAGTAACCAAATTTCTGGAAATCTAGAAGTAAAAAATTACATATTAAAGTAACATTCATTAATATTTAACAACTCATTTTTCATAAAAAATTTATACCCTAAAATATATCAATATTATAGTTATTTTAAGTAACTGTGAGATCTTTACATTATTAACCTGTACAATAAAATTTTCAAATTTCTGAAGGAGAGAAAAACAATGATAAATTTCTTTAATGATTGAAAATACTGACATCAAATGAATTATTTACAAGTATTCCTTTAACACAACTAACAAAAAAGCTCTTTCCCATTCTAAATACTGTCAATCCCTGCCCAAAAGCAGACATGTATTTCTTAATAGAAACTGCTTAATTTTAACAGTCTCATTTTATATAGAACTGTAGGTTAATGAGCAACCTGTCTCACTCTTTACGTAAAGGCCATCTGGCAATAACAATACTTATAGCATGCACTTTATATATAAACTGGTCTGACAGTAATTTTGGTTTTTTTTATACTTCCTAAAAAGGACAAAATATAAATTTTCTATTTCACGGATCTAAATATAAACAAGGCGTATAATTATGATCACATCATACATAAGTATATTCCTTTGGTTTAAAATATTGCTCTATATGTATATCCCAACACTTTTCAAATAGTCACTGAAGGCATGTCCTGGTACCCATGTGAAATATATTGATCTCGTTCCCAGTCTGGTTCTGTCACTGTCTCTGGTACCTGGCTACTAGTCTGGCCTGGGTTAATATTTTCCTGCTCTGATTTATTGTCATTGTCATCCTCTATTTCAGATATACTCATTTCAGACTCTTTCTCGGCCATGGCTTGATCATAAGTAGGTGGACCATATGGAGGAGGCGGGTCACTATTCACAGTGTCTATAACAATTTCACTGGTAGATTCAGGATAGTAGTCACTGGTTGCCTCAGCATAATCAGGAGGCCTGCTACCATCATCTGACCTGTTCAAATATTTTAAAGGCTCTGTTAACTTTGATTGGTTGTAAAACTCAACAGTATTTCTAAATCTAGACACAGCCAGACATTATTCATAATTTTTGGTTCTATATATAATACTGGCATTTATCAAATATTCTTTATATTTTTTTAAGTATGGTAAAGTAAGAATAAATTTGAAGCACCCCAAGGCACTAGTCAGCTGCTAATTTACAGAAATAAAAAAAAAGTGAGCTACAAAAAAACAGAATTTGATGACATCAGCTATATAAGATAGTAAAATGACCTGTGCTATTTCGAATTTATATATTTTTGAAGCTTTATCAACAATTCTTACATCCCTTTGAGCAATAAAAGCTTTAACCTTTAGTCTGCTGGCTGTAACAGATTCTATGCATGCAAACAGTGCAGACCATGGTCCGCCAGCACATCTGTTCCGTCTGATAGTGGTCTAAACTGTTTACTATTTACAAAGTACATATTTTTTCAATATTTCCCTAAAAGTGATGAATCAGATTTTGTCCAGACTGTAGGATGGACTATTCCATTTATGATATTTAGTGTGGTACGGGTTAATCATAAAGCTATATAGCTGTCTGCTAGCAAGCATGCTTGCACTTCTAATCACTCAGACTGGACTCTTTACTGTTGACTGCATTTATATAGTATTTTGATTCTTTCACACTAGAATACACTCAATTCAAAGCATGGCATATCTATTTCTTTGATTCAGCAGGGAAATGACCTTAAAGTACTTTAAGATGATATACAGAAAACATATATCATATATTATATAACCATCAACTGTCTCCTTGTGGAATATTAATACCATTCTTATAACTAGACTTCTCTCTTCTTTGAACCAAATATTATAAATTATGCCTAAGAACATACAAGATTGATAGCAGATTTAATTGTTTATATGCTGATACTATGGTTTCCATGAATTTCTATATGCAATTTACACAGTTACATTTATAAAACAGCATTTAAAAGCTTACTGTCAGCTTTAAATTAGGCCTATTTAATGTCTGAATAGTAATATTCATAAAATAGCATAAGTGCCTTTTGTCTTTTCATTAACTAAGGAATGTGTGTTGGCTTGATATGTAAAACAATGCAACGTTAAGTGTTAAACAATGTAATTTTATAATAAAAACAAAATCAAAACAATTTTACTGTTTAAACAGTACAGTTTTAGAGTAAAAAGTACAATTTGAGAATAAAGCGGTACACTTTTAGAGGGGTCAGTGGCTGAGTGGTTAAGGTCGTTGACTTAAAACCACTTGCCCCCACTTTGTGAGTTTGAATCACATCAAAGACTTAGATTCTTTCAGCTATCCAGCTAGCTTATGGAATATTGGTCGTTCTACTCAGGTGCCTGTTTATGTCTAAAATAATGCACAGAGGGGCATCTCACTTTTAGAGTACAATTTCAGAGTGAGACAATACATTTTTAGATATTTCAACTTTTGTATATTAACAAGAGCATTTGAAAAAAAAAACAAAGAAAAAAAATGTCCACGTAAATAAACCTAAAATGAGAATTTCATGTAAATTTTAAAAGTATCAAACCTTCTACGACACCTTGCTTCTATATTTACTGTATCCATGACGACAGTCAGTGTTCCTCGTTCATCTTCCCTCTCTATCACCATGGATGCAACTGTACCCCTTGATATCTAAAATGAACCAAACAAATGTTTATGCATACTTATGAAAAGACAAAGTTAAACAAAAGTTCTGACAACAGAGATCCCTCAAGAGCAATTGCAACAAAAGCAAAAAGGTGAAAATTGCTGAGTCTGTTCATGACAGATAATGGAAAGAGCAACATCTCTCATGGAAAGAGAAACATCTCTCATAAAAAGGGCAACATCTCTCATGGAAAAGGCAACATCTCTCATGGAAAGAGAAACATCTCTTATGGAAAGAGAAACATCTCTTTAGGAAAGAGAAACATTGAGCAACATCTCTTATGGAAAGAGCAACATCTCTCATGGGTTTAAGCAATTTCTCTCATGGAAAAAGCAACAACTCTAATGGAAAGAGCAACATCCCTCATGGAAAGAGAAACATTTCTCATGTAAAAAGCAACATCTCTCATACCCCACTAACATTGGCTTAAGTGATATTCAATTTTCAACATGTTAAGTATTAGAATCAATGACCCTGTAGGTTTTGATAGTGCAATAACACAAGACAATCTCATGCTACTATTTTTACATTTGGTAAAGATATACTGACAAATTTATAAATTTACACTGAGAAAATGAGGAGAGATTGTTGTAAAATTTATTCTGTTTTGCAGCTGTGGTTAAGAAATCAGTTGAATAATCATGATAATAAATCATAAAAGTATGCTACCAGAAGACTAAGTCTAGAAGTCTAGAAATCTATGTCCATACAGTATAACCTCCGCAGAGCAACACCCTTATGGGGGAGACATAGATTCTTATTAGTTGACTAGACATGTTGCTATGGAGAGGTTTAAGTTATTGTTAAGTCTGTCTTCAAGAAGGAACTGAAATTGTTCTTGTATAGAAGATATTGCTCTACATTAAGGGCTGCTCTACGGAGGCAGTAAGTTTCCAGCTTATATAACAGACTCCGATAAAAGGCCTCTTCACAATTGAAATTTTCTTTAAAATCATGCAGTTTTCCCAAAAAATCTGAACTTAAACCTGCTTTTTTTATTCTCAAATAAACAATTTTAGTGATAATTTTTCCCAAAATCAAGAGTCTATTAGGCCTCTTCCCAATTAAGTGAAAAGAATAACTGGGAGATTACTGATTCAAGAGAAGATGATGTTTTAAAGTTCCTTACATTTCATTACATTGTGAGGGAGGAATGGGGGGGAGGAATCCTATAAAATAATGCTGCACTACAAGTCTGATGAGTCTAGACTATTGGTCCATTAGACAAGGCATTCAAAGGTTAGATCTATTTTTAGCTCTAGTGGGCTGCATCAACTGAGTTTCAATATTCCTACTATCTTTAAATTGGGCATATATTATCTGGCAACAAGTCAGTATTCCTAATGTAATGAATAATAATGCATTTATAAATATGCCAGCAAACAAAGACAAAAGTACTTAGTCAGCAAAACATTTTCGTCTTCAAATATGTGTACTTTTAATAATGAAAATAAATCAAATTTTGGTATAAACAAAAGCATCTGCTTCCAGTCATCTAGAAATTAATGGTGACACCTCATTTCTAATATAACACCCTAGGGATATCAGTAAGTGAGATAGGAAGTAATAAGTTTTCTAAAATTGTGTAACCAGAATTGATTAATGTAAATACTCTATAGAAACATATGAATCTCTTATTAAAACTACCAATATCAGTTTCAATGTAAACATGTGGTTGATCCTTTATTATTATTATTGTTTTCCACTGTTCCAACCAAAACAGCTTTATCTCAGGTCGGATTACTCTATATAAAATCTGGGTTGATTATGACCACTTTTCAGCTAAAATGGTGAGGACAATGTTAGAGAAGTAGTTGAGGTACAGCCACCGACCTTCTGTTAGAAATGCTGACAAATGGTCATAATATTGCACACAAAAAGTGATCATTCATACAACACCTACATGTACAATATATGCCAGACTGTGTAACTCAGATAAATATAGTTTTGTAAAACATTAATTATAATTTCATATACAGGAAAGCTGAGAAGTTGCAAGTAAAAATGTATTCCATATTGTAAATGTGAAAAAAAAAAAAATACCAAACACCAGTAGCCATAATTCTGCAAAAATTAAAATTATCAAATGAAACTAGAACTGCCACTGTCATGGCGTGAATACCTCCGTATACCACTTTGTCAGAATCAACAGTGGCCAGTCAGAACTCAAGGACAACCTCCCTGCCAAATCTGAGGTTACTAAGGCAGTGCATTGCTAAGCTATGTATTCTACATGCTTCAAATGTGAAAATGTCAAAATCAATACACTGCGGACAGGCATTCTGAAGCAATTGAGGGGAAAAGCTTTATTTTGACAAGGTCCCTGTGACCTTGACCTTTGACCCAGTGACTTCAAAATCAATACGGATCATCTACTAATCATGACTAACCTCCATGCAATATATGAAGACGGCGAGTGTGGGTCAAAGGAAGCTTAAGTTATTGGGCGGACAAACTTTTTGAAGTCAAGGCCCCTATGACCTTTGACCTGGTGACCTCAAAATCAACAGCGGACATCTACTAATCATGACTAACCTCCATGCCAAATATGAAGACTGTGGGTCAAAGGAATCTTAAGTTATTAGGCGGACAAACTTTTTGAAGTCAAGGCCCCTGTGACCTTGACCTTTGACCTGGTGACCTCAAAATCAATAGGGGTCATCTACTTATCATGACTAACCTCCATGCCAAATATGAAGACTGTGGGTCAAAGGAATCTTAAGTTATTGGGCGGACAATCTTTTTGATGTCAAGGTCCCTGTGACCTTGACCTTTGACCTCAAAATCAATAGGGGTCATCTGCTAATCATGACTAACCTCCATGCCAAATATGAAGACTGTGGGTCATAGGAATCTTAAGTTATTGGGCTTACAAGCTTTTTGAAGTCAAGGCCCCTGTGACCTTGACCTTTCACCTGATGACCTCAAAATCAATTGGGGTCATCTACTAATCATGACTAACCTCCATGCCAAATATGAAGACTGTGGGTCAAAGGAATCTTAAGTTATTGGGCGGACAAACTTTTTGAAGTCAAGGCCCCTGTGACCTTGACCTTTGACCTCAAAATCAATAGGGGACATCTACTAATCATGACTAACCTCCATGCCAAATATGAAGACTGTGGGTCAAAGGAACTTAAGTTATTGGGCGGACAAGCTTTTTGAAGTCAAGGCCCCTGTGACCTTGACCTTTGACCTGGTGACCTCAAAATCAATAGGGGTCATCTGCTAATCATGACTAACCTCCATGCCAAATATGAAGACTGTGGGTCATAGGAATCTTAAGTTATTGGGCAGACAAGCTTTTTGAAGTCAAGGCCCCTGTGACCTTGACCTTTCACCTGATGACCTCAAAATCAATAGGGGTCATCTACTCATCATAACCAACCTCCATGCCAAATATGAAGACTGTGGGTCAAAGGAATTTTAAGTTATTGGGCGGACAAGCTTTTTAATGTCAAGGTCCCTGTGACCTTGACCTTTGACCTCAAAATCAATAGGGGTCATCTACTAATCATGACTAACCTCCATGCCAAATATGAAGACTGTGGGTCACAGGAATCTTAAGTTATTGGGCGGACAAGAAAAAACCGACGGACAGCCGGACGGACGGACAGCCGGTCGGACGTACCAACTTTTGACATGAGGCAAATCAGCTCATAAACAACACCTGGACCAACGTCCATAAGCAAAATTAACTCATAAAAACAAAAAAATAGCTCTTAATTTGAATTTTATGAGTTTTTGTTCTTTTTTTAACTACGGAATGAAGCTCATAAATATCAAATGTTTGCTCGGACAAGCTGATTCCAGTATACCCCCATTTCAACTTTGTTGTGCGGGGGTAAAATAACAAAACCAAACAATAGGGGCTTCAAAGGAATAGATTGGTTAAAATTCTTTGCGAAATGTAGAGGTATTACAAACAGAATGAACTGTTTAAACCCATCAAACTGCCCGTCTGTGTCCACCAAAATTGCAAATTTAAAACCTATTTGACAACCTTTTATTGTTTGTTTTCATTATAATCTATCATTTCATTTTATTCAAATTTTTGAAAAAAAACCATAAGCTATATAAGCTAAAAAAAAAGATCAAGGTCATAAAATGGCATTGACCTAATTACGGTAGGTGTTGTTAACAAACAACATTCTATTGCTGGTGTAGTTGAAATAATTTGTAGTATCATCAATTTGAGAAACTATGTCTCAACAATCAAATAAAATCCTGATTGATTTTTCGGTACATTAGTGAAATCTACATTACTCTATATTAATGACCAATAAAACAAGATTTTGTTTTTAATCAATCTTTAATTTTGTTCAATATTTAATCCCCACAATAATTACTTGGTGTAATTAATTTGCCTTTATAGCTCTAACTTTTAACAAGAATTTAACATTAATATTTTTATTTTTTTGTTTTAATAATTTGTTACCCTTACCACCTTCAATATCTTAAATGGACTTATCCATCTTTCAATCTGGACAGATCCATTCATTATTTTGAGGGAAATTTCAAAATATGAACTGACCTTACAAGGAATAGTGCAGACAATAATCAGATGGCACAGATCTTGGTCTGCACTGATCCCATGGATATTATTAGATATGGGTTTATAACAGCTAAATTTGAGCAAATAAAAGTATTATAGTTTGGTCAAACTATATGGCTTATCTAACTGGCCTCAAGCTTATTTAACAAATAAGCAAGCCTGAAATACTTTTTCCTTCACAAAATTAATGAGGTTCATAAAACTGGGTAATATTCTTATGTTTACACACTTAGCTAAGAATTGTTTTATTTTTTAAATTAACAATGTATTTCTTATTATTCTCTCATGGTACAATAACAATAATGGCTCATCTATGTTCCTTTCATAAAGGCGCTTAAACAACATGGCTAGTAAAAACAAGTAACAAGTAAAAACGAAAATCTATTTTTAGCCCTTAATGACCTTAACACTCTGCAAAAGGTAAAGGTCAATAAACTAAAGTGTCACTTATAATAAAAGAAGTACCTATAAAAAATCTTAAGTATGTGAGGTGTGGATGAACTTAAGGGGGGGGGGGGTGCACACAAATTGTTTTGTCTAAGCAGTCCATTGCAAAATATTAATAGAAAATAAAAAAGTAAACATATAAACCAACAAAATTGTGTATATTTCCTGACAATTTCACCTCAAAGTAAGTCAGTTTCATTTTCAATCACACACACAATTTCCAAGAGCCACACAATAAGTTAACTAAAATTGTTTTTCAATGATTAATAATGAGAGCTTTGGCTTAATTCAATCATAATGTGTTATCAATGAGGTAATGTTATACTATCGGGAACAAAGTACTCTTTGATGATTTAATTAGCATTTTAACTTAATGAAAATCTGCTACCACTGAACTGAACCAGTCTCAAATCAATAAACTTCCTCAATATATTTGTACTATTTTTTTGTACTGAAACAATTGCAGTTTGAATGTATAGACCATGGTGTATACAAAACACAGAAAATAGTCACTTCAATATAAGTATGAAAATAATGCAATATTTGTTCGTTCCATTAATCATTTTCTAATTATTTGTTTTTAAATGCTTTTCTGTGATTAAACTAGTTTTCAGATTTAAAAACATATCTGCCTGAGGACAGTTGGAATAAATAACGTGTAATTTACAAATATTTTAGTACATGAAAGTCATAATAATGTATATCAGCTTGTAAAATATGGTTATGTGGTAGTGGATGATTATATGTTAGTTTTCTGAACACTTCAGCAATAATATAATGACTTGCCAATGTCAATGACATAATTTTTGTGCCAAGCATTTAAGACTGTATACCTGAGTAGAAAATGTCATTTATAAGTATAGTGCCAAGCCAGATTGCAAACCTGTGTAGAAATATGAACAGTAGATTAAGTAATTGCATTTTATAGTCTAAGTTTCATGCTTACGCACGTTCACCGACTTTACAGCTATTACCCTTGGTCATCAGGCTTCTGGTATCTATCTATCAATCTCCCTGGGGAGTCTTTTAACTCTGCTTAGTGCAGCCGACACTTTGGGTGCACAACGGAATTATACCACCCTGGCAGGTACCCATTTACACCTGGGTGAAGTGAAGCAATCACAGGTAAATTTCTTGCTCAAGGAAATTAGCATTGCCCCTGGTGGGGTTTGAACCCGGGACCTCTCGATCCCTAAGCGCGTGTCCTACCACTGGACTACTGCTCCTGAATGTAAGACCCATCTGAACAACATGTGTTGAAATTCAGTATTACATAATTATTTAAATGTATCTATCACAACCCTCTCTCTAACCTACTACTCTCAAATAAATCAGATATTCTACAACCCTCTGGTAGGCAAAATAATAAACATTATACAATCTTCTGATAAACCACATAACCTAAAACCCTCTGATAAACCAGATATCCTATAAACCTCTGATAAACCAGATAACCTACAACCTTCTTATAAACCAAATATCCTACAACCTTCTGGTAAACCAGATAACAAACAACCCTCTGATAAATCAGATATCCTTCAACTCTTTGATAAACCAGATATTTTACAAGCCAAAGATAAACCAAATAGCCTCAAACCCTCTGATAAATCAGATAACATACAATCTCTGATAAACCAGATATTCTACAAGCCTAAGATAAACCAGATAACCTACAATCCTCTGATGAACCAGATAACTTTCAACCCTCTAATAAACCAGATTACCAGTATAACCCTATTGTTAATTCAGATAACCTACAACCTTCTGATAAACCAGATATTCTACAACACTCTGATAAACTTTATAACCTACAGCCCAATGATTAACCATCTAACCTACAACCCTTTGATAAACAAGATAATCTATAACTCTCTGACAATTCTGAAAATATATTATTGCTGTTGATTAACCACATAATATATGTACAACCCTTTGATAAACAAGATACTCTACAATCCTTTCATAAACCAGATAATCTTCAACCCTTTGACAAACCAGATTATCTACAACCCTTTGATAAACCAGATTATCTACAACCCTTTGATAAACCAGATTATCTACAACCCTTTGATAAACCAGATTATCTACAACCCTTTGATAAACCAGATTATCTACAACTCTTTGACCAGAAATATGCAAAGTAAGCAGACGGTCGGCCAAATATGATCAATACAAAGATTATCACACTAGGTAAAGATGGAGGTGTTTTTTATTCACATAATCTCTAATTATATCACAGCATACACAAGGAGTGTTGGATCTTTTATTATCTCCTATTTACTGCTAAATCAAAGTATAGCTGAACCTGACACTTTAACAGATCCCTCCAGTAAAGTACAAGAGTGTTGTAAATGACAATGATACAAAACAAGCAGATACAAGATTCTTGCTCTGTGGTAAACAATGCTACAAATGATCACCAAATAACATACAAAGCTTAGAAAAAATGTGAATGAACTTTCAAAGAAAATACCGAGTGTCCTTTTTAAACCAAAACATTATGACAAAGGTTGGTGACATGTTCATCCTTAAACAGAAATATTTCTGTATTATGGAAATATAATGGTTTGTCTTGACTAAAAAATGAGCATTTCAGTATATTTGTTAATATTTTGCTTTTTGCATCACACGCACAGGCAATATGGTTGTGTTGCAATTTTATAGTGAATTTGTGTCATTTATATGTATTTGGGTAATTTGTGAAAGAAAGTGTGTAAACTCAGTATTCAGTAGCAGTTATATTTAAAATCTATATTTAGATTATTGAAAATTTCACCACAGCCAATTTCTCTGTAATCATACAAGATTTTTCTCAATATAAACATTCCGAGATAATATTGAAGTATTTTTTTCCGAACATGTTTGAATTACGTTTAAGTGGAGATACAGACTGTGAGACAAAAAATACACTGTTTTCAGTGGAACTTCTTTAGTTTATTACGCCATTAAGAAATGTCTGCGAGTGTGTGAAATTTTGGGGAGAAAATATTTTTACATATATTTGACTAAATATTTACGATCCTATTTGGGAATTCCGATTAGACAACCATTCTGTCTCTCAGATATAACCTGACATACATGTACATCACTTTTCCATTTTGCTGATTGCAGAAAGAATTGAAGTAAAGTGCTTGCTGGCTGTATTCTATTAAAACTAGACACAAATCAAAATTACGACATGAAAAAAACCCAGAAAAAATCTGCTTGTCTTCTTTTATAACAAGAAAATCACTGTAATTATTGTAACATAATGATATAGCATACAGATATTGTTTGCCACTTAATACATCTAATTCACCCATTACATTAAACATGATAAGTAAGGATGGGCAAAAAAAATTACAAATGTTGATAAACAAAGCAAATGTCTTTGTTTGTTTTTTAAAGTTTTAAAACAACAAGACCATGATGGCCTCTAGAATGCTCAAATGAAATCAATTGCAGGCTATATAAGTGTATTCCCAAGGGCAGAGCTAATTCTAACCTAAATGCCAAATATCTAATCCCCAAGCAATGTAAATTCACACGGCTTTCAAAAAGATTTGATGCTTTAATCTTTAATTATTGTCCAAAATATCATACAAAAAACTTTGTTTGTGGGGTGGGGGGGGGGGGGGTAAAATTAGTTTCTTGACAAGTATAAACATCAGAACAGTATCAGCTTGTTCGAAATAATGTTATACATGTATATTTATATAAAAAACGTCTTTGCAATGCTGAAAATCAAAAATATATAACAAGCTCAGATGCTGTTTTTGATCTTAATACTTGCCAAGAAATACCATCCCATTAAGGTGGCTACATCATGTTAAACAATATTTAAAAAGTTAAATCATGTAAAACAATAAAATACTTTGAGAACACCTCAAAATTTGTATTATAAACATTATAAAAGAAATATGTATAAAAACAGTAAAAAAAACAACACTAACCTGTAATGTTCTTTCTGACTTCCTAAGTTTGGCTGACAGGAGAAACATACGTAAAGCACCAAGAAACAAGAGGACTGAAACTGCTATCATCAACATACCCATCATAGTATAGCCAGTGTCAAACACATCCATAAAACCTGAAATAACAATAACATCATAGTATAACCAGTGTCAATCACATCCATAAAACCTGAAATAACAACATACCCATCATAGTATAGCCAGTGTCAAACACATCCATAAAACATGAAATAACAACATACCCATCATAGTATAGCCAGTGTCAAACACATCCATAAAACCTGAAATAACAACATACCCATCATAGTATAACCAGTGTCAAACACATCCATAAAACCTGAAATAACAACATACCCATCATAGTATAGCCAGTGTCAAACACATCCATAAAACCTGAAATAACAATAACATCATTGTATAACCAGTGTCAAACACATCCATAAAACCTGAAATAACAATAACATCATTGTATAACCAGTGTCAAACACATCCATAAAACCTGAAATAACAACATACCCATCATAGTATAGCCAGTGTCAAACACATCCATAAAACCTGAAATAACAATAACATCATAGTATAACCAGTGTCAATCACATCCATAAAACCTGAAATAACAATAACATCATTGAATAACCAGTGTCCATAAAACCTGAAATAACAATAACATTAACATTATAGTATAACCAGTGTCAAACACATCCATAAAACCTGAAATAACAATAACATCATTGAATAACCAGAATCAAACACATCCATAAAACCTGAAATAACAAGAACATTATAGTATAACCAGTGTCAAACACATCCATAAAACCTGAAATAACAATAACATCATTGTATAACCAGTGTCAAACACATCCATAAAACCTGAAATAACAATAACATCATTGTATAACCAGTGTCAAACACATCCATAAAACCTGAAATAACAATAACATCATTGTATAACCAGTGTCAAACACATCCATAAAACCTGAAATAACAATAACATCATTGTATAGTCAGTATTAAAGAAATCAATAAAACCTGAAATAACAATAACATCATTGTATAGTCAGTATTAAAGAAATCAATAAAACCTGAAATAACAATAACAGCATTGTATAGTCAGTATTAAAGAAATCAATAAAACCTGAAATAACAATAACATCATTGTATAACCAGTGTCAAACACATCCATAAAACCTGAAATAACAATAACATTATTGTATAACCAGTGTCAAACACATCCATAAAACCTGAAATAACAATAACATCATTGTATAACCAGTGTCAAACACATCCATAAAACCTGAAATAACAATAACATCATTGTATAGTCAGTATTAAAGAAATCAATAAAACCTGAAATAACAATAACAGCATTGTATAGTCAGTATTAAAGAAATCAATAAAACCTGAAATAACAATAACATCATTGTATAACCAGTGTCAAACACATCCATAAAACCTGAAATAACAAAACATTATTGTGTGAAATAATAAAATTTCATTGTAAAGCCAGTATTAAAGAAATCAATAACAAAACATCATAATGTGTAGCCAGTATTAAAGAAATCAATGAAACCTGAAATTTGATCCCTCGGATAGGGTGACAAGCCCGTAAATCTGTGGATTTTGTCCCCTGCCGGGGAAATGGCATGTATGGTCTGGGCATGTGTGGGACAGTCATTTTTAACTAAGGGGGATGTAAAATTCAATGCAGGATTAAGCTGATTACCCATACATACCGCATACAGCAGTTATCATACAGCATTGTCAATGTTAATAATGTCATTATGTGGGGAAATTTGATTTGAATTCTAGGACAACTTTTCCTACTTCCGTCATTAATCACTAACTCTTATTTATAGTCACAGAATCTCTTAAACATGCAATTCAACAGAATAAAAAATACATGTAACCGACTTCATAGAGAAGCTGAATGAATCAATTACTGAAGATACTTGACCAGTGTACGGTCCATTTACAAAGAAGATATTGACTTAAGACCAGCAAATATTTACACAGATATTGTCACATCAATTTTGTCCATTTTTGTGTTCCTTTAGGCATCTCGTTTCTGATAATTATCTTCCATTTTTACATTCAATTGTTCTTTAATTAGTTAAACCTTTGCTGTAGATCACCTGTTAACAAAGACCTTTAACAGAAATCCTGTTTTCTGAAATCCTTTGAGGCTAATTAGGCCATACTTTTATCCATTGGAATAATGATGGTGTAGAATAACATGTTTTGAGAGGCGGCTTTGTGTCAATAAAAATATATTTTATATTTCTAAGGTGCAGAAAACATTGTATTTCATTCCTAAGTCTAGTGGCAACAGATTCTATCCATGCAACCAGGCAGTGCAGACCAAGATCAGACGGTTATATTTTATTATGGTCTTCACTGTTCCCTATCCAGTCAGTATGTATTTTGAATTTTTCCCTAAAAATGGTGAATGGTTTAGTCCCTATTGAAAGATGAGAAAGTCCAGTTAAGATATTTAATGGGGTAGGGGTTTATACAAAACAGTATTGTTTTATAGTATTTCCTTTCCATGTCAGGTCCGTCATAATGAATTTTTATGCCACAGTTCCAATTCCCCAAAATAATGTCCTAAATGATGCCATTTTGCAAAAAGAACCACTACCCTGCAATTCCTAGGTAACTTGACACTTCAATGTCTATTAAACAGGGATGCTCTCACATTCCGCTGTACCAATCCCTATATTGTCACAAAAAATCCTGGCCGTGCAATATAGCAGTTACACTGTTGAAGTTACACATGACAAAAGTTCAAACATTAATTTTGCTTTGTTAGGGGCCATAACTCTACTAATCTAAATGTTACCAAGACCCTTAAGTTAACATGCTGACTGCAGTTACATGTTTGAATTCAAATGAAACAAAAGGCTTAATATGCTATATTTTGCTTAAATAAGGGGCATAAGTCTGTGGATCTCTGAGACAAATGTCTCAAAATAAACTTGTGCAAAATTTAGAGACAGATTCTGTTGTAAACAAAAATTTGACAGTAATGTTGTGAGTAAGTAAGGCAAAACAACATTTTAGTCTTAGCTATTTGTAACTGTTTCTAAATTATCATTTTTAAGATTTTGTTCCTCTTTCCTCCATTAATGGATTACTAATTCAATTTACGAGTTACATTAATTCAAAAGTACTTTTCTAACCATAAATAAATGTGCTAGCTCTATTCAGACATCAAATTTAAAAGTGCTTTTTATTGTTTCAGAAGAATTTTAATCTTTATAATATTGCCAAGGCAGCTTTTGTAAGAAACAATACAACTGGTCATGTTGCATCTATGTTTGTATTTTTTAATTCCTTAAACTATAAACTATGAATGAACTATGATGGTGTTGGTAGTTTTCCGAATCACGTCAGTAACCCACAATGAATTTTTACCAGTCTGAGCACAACTCAGCCACCACATTGTTCCTGGGCAGTCAGTCTGTCAAGTTAACCAGTACTAGTTGCTAATGACTTTAGTCTTGGAAGGAACTGATAACTTCTGTATATGCCAGAGCCGAGGAACAAAGCAAATGACTGTAGAAAGGATTTCATGATCAATCACAACAGTCAAACGAGGAATAATGCAAATGACTGTAGAAAGGATTTTATGATCAAGCACAACAGTCCAACGCTCTACCTATTGAGCTAACCGGATGGTCAATCAATCATTAACATTCAGGTTAACCCTTTACCTGCTAAAACCAAAAGTGTTTAGCCTTTGCTACAAGTATAGAGCCAGGACAGCCTACACATCTGAGCTGTCTGATAAGGCTCTTAACTATTGTCAAAATCCATCAAAATTTGAATGGACTTTTAATGAATCCATTAAAAACATTGATAAGGAAGCTAAAGGTTAAAATCAAAACAAAGGTAACCAATCAAAATCACCTTGATCAAGAGGACCTCAATATCAGCCGACTAAAGAGAATAAGGGGCATAAATACTTTGAAAAAAGTCTGCGTGGGTGTGTGTGTGTTTTTTTTCCCTATCTCGCCAGTTATGCATTGATTTTCAAAAAGTCCAATGTAAATAAACTTCTACTATTTTGTAACACATTAATGACTGTTTAAATGTCTAGCCCTGACTGGCATGTACCTTCAAATAAACCAGAAACTCTAGAAAATCAATAGTTTCTATTTTATCTATTGACAGTGAAGCACAACAAGCCAAGAAATATGTGTCATAGGGATCTGAGTCTCATGACTTCAAATGCCACCTTTCAAGTGTATGGCCATTTTTCATATGACAATAAAGGAACATCAAGTAGACATGCTTTCAAATTTGTACATCATTCAGATATAATTATGTACGAGGGATGATCAAAAATTAACCGGACTTTGTAAATAATTCTTTACCCGTTTAATGAATTTACATAAAAATACACGGAACATAAATCGGAATATATCCCCTAAATGATACAAAAAATACCAACAAGAAAAATAAACAAATGAAATAGTTATGCTGTTATTGGCATGTACATGTAAAGCAATGCGGCGCACGGTATAACTTTGAAATTGACGTTAACGACGTCACAAGCGTGTTTTTCTTAACGGAGCACTTTTTACTCATTCACGGAGTAGGCCAATAAGTGGTACAGTCATGTTGTTGATGCGGCGGATCCACTGCCTATATATATTTCTGTACAAGTGGGTATCATATTGTATCGTAAAAGAATGAATGATGATAAAGAGCTCCTGTAATGACGCAAATTTCTGTTCTTTCCTCTTGTAACTTTATTGTTCGAAAAATTGCACATGCAATAAACAATATTATGTATAACAAATAATGTTAAATAATGTTGCTGAACGATAATGTATCATACATAAGGAAAAATAAAAGAATAATTCAACTGTGAACAAAATTGTCATTATTTCAAAATAAATAAAATGCATAGCCGATTTTGAACAGTGACTGTCTAATTGTTGACACAATTTCTCTAAAAAAAACTACTGCGTAAAATAAGAAAATAATTGATGGAATTGCAAACCAAAAATACAATATGTTTAATTAATGCATTAACTATTATCATTTTAAAATCCTTAGAGTTGACTGCACCGTCCCGTAGCTACTGTCGAACATCGTTGACAATGTCCGC